TTTTTTTGTTTCTTTAGATCTATGAAAACTAATTTATATAATTTAATCAAGAAATCTTTTTGATATAATATTGATGTTTAGAAACTATAATTTATTATTCAGTATGAATACTAAACAAAACAAATAGAATAATTCTTTCCAATGCAATCTCTTAATTTATGATCTATTAATTAAAATCTTATGGGAATATATCAAAATAAAGAAGAAAAAAAACTATGAACAAGTAATGCTATATTTTTATTATGAGAACAAAAATGTTTTTTTATACTTAGAAAATGAAATTTGATTAGTAACTGTGGTTGCGTGATTATGTTGAGCTTGACACTAGTATTTATCTTTACAAAAATAACGATAAATATACATGTTAATATCTATAGAAAAAGCCAGTACCCGATCCAGAACTTTCTGAAGGGGGTGCGGTTCAACAAGGGAGGACCGGATATAATATAATTTCAGTCAAAACAACAACGAACAAGTGCATCTTTTTCCTAGTTGTCTTTCTTTTTTTTTTTATAAATATACATCAGAAGAAAAAAGAAACTAAAGTGATTATCATTCATCTAGACCAATGAAATCCATACACCAATATCAGTCTAATATCAATAGGAACTATTTTTCTCAAAACCTAAACAAATCATCATATAACATTCAACAATCCGTTCAAAAAGTATATAATTAGGAGATTTATCAATTAATAATAACAATTAATTAATAATATACCTGGTCAAATAACATTTGCTGATAAAGTTAATTTATGGTATACCATAGGAGATTTTCTTGAGAGTAGAAAAAATATAACTGGAAATAATATTCAAACATTTCTTCCTATGATATTTATTCTTGATGGTGAAAATAATTCGAGGAAATTCTTGCGTATTTATAAAAGTAAGTAGAAAACAAAAAAAAAGACTATTTTTTAATATAATTAAGTGTTCATTTTACATTCTTTTTCTCATCTCATGCTTTCTGTAGAATTAATTTCTAAGCCGTTTCTTTTTATAGGCTTAGTTAAAAAAAGATTCATTTAAGCATTCATCGATGTTCCATATTGATTCAATTAGCTTTATTTTCGATGGACTCATATAATTTCAACATTCTATTATTGCTTATTCCCGACAACACGCTAGCTATAAAAGATCTGCTAAAAAATCATCAATTTTTCTCCACTATAAAAACATGATAAAATTGAAAACATTTTGTAAGTATCTACCTATCACGCTACAGAGGTTCTTCAAATTTCATCTCATTTATTGACGTAAAAATTTGAAATGACTGAATTAATTGCTTTAGTCGCCTACCACTATTGCAATCATCAAACAACTGTTGTCGACTTATTTAGTAACGGAATTTATTTGACACGTCATACTTTACAACCGTTTTTCTTAAAACTATGTAATATCTGATCGGTTTACATTTTTTATTTCAATAAAATCATTGATGAAATATAATTTTGATAATTAAGTTATTTCTCATAATTACAGTTAGACGATGTAATGATTCCCAATCTCAAATAAAATCATCATTTTTTAATTGTTATTGCATATGTGTTACTAGCATACTCAATAAAAATATAGACGTGAATATTTTTATTTAATAGAGGGTATGGGTGTGAGCATGTGATGGATATAACAGTCATACCCACATCCACCCCATACTCTCAAGATGCTCAAAATAAGAAAATAATGTGCCACTGAGATGACAAGAATCCGTATTTTATTTGTTTTAATTAACAAAGATTAATTTTACAGTCCACTCTGTACAAAAAAGTCTGCACGTTCAAATCTTATACTTAGAAATATAGAATATTTGTTTGTTATCAAACCACTAAATGAACAGATTGAGTTATTGTTCAAGACCGATATCAAAATTATCTAAATGCATGAACTGAGGGAGTAAACCTTTTTGCATAAAACATACTACCAAAAGATTTCCAAATACCGAACTTGAAGAAAGTTTTGAAGTTCTTTTATTAAGGCATGGGCTTGTATTCTTGTTCTATCTATCAATCAAATTTCTATGATCTTAACACAAAAATCAAACCAAATGCAAGAATACAGACATTGGTATCTGACTGTGACGACGAATTATTCGTGCTTTTCTAACAATAGTTCGTTCTTCTAGAGCGAATCGTGATCTAAATGAAAATATCTATTTGAACTATGGGGATATGAAATATGTATATATTGATCTCATATCTGCATCCTCGCAAAATATTCTACGCTAATTACTTTTTGTTTGTTTATTATTAAAAAAAGCAAAATATTGAAAAAGGCTGGAGTAAAATACGGCTATCTAGTAAGCAAAAATATTTGGGTTAGTTAAAAAAAAAAGAATAAATGTTAGTGTTAAACAATAGGTGTCTTTTTTGTTGTCTTCTTTCGGAATACAACTCGCCAATATTCTGCTCGTCCTTGTTGCATATTATCATAAAGTTGAGTACCAGGTAATCCAGCCAATAGACGACAATATTCTTGATCTGCAGGTTGAATATAACGATCAATGAAGTCAGCACGTGAGTTACTTTGAATATCAAGTGCATGAAGAACATTAGCGGTAATATTGACCTTCTCTTTAATAATAAATGCATTATTTGCTGTTAAATAATCAATCAATACACTTGATCCATCTACATTACACAAGCCACACCAGAGAAAGTATCCATTAGGAGTAAGCACGCGAGTAACTTCATTGACGAATTGCTTCACTGCTACTATATCATCAAAAATATTTCTTGTTTCAATCGAGAGAACAACATCCATTGATTCATTTTGAAATGATAAATGAGTATTTGGATCAGCTTTTATAAAAGAGAGTTGAGGAATTGTTGAATAACATCGTTCACATAGATTAATAACATCTCGAGTACGATCGATTCCAACATAAGAGCGAGGAGCATATGTGCGAACACACCAGGCAGCACCAGCACCTCTACCGCAGCTCACTTCAAGTATATTTTTATCCGTAAGTGTTACATTAGCAAGAACCTAGAAAATAAAACAAAATATTTCAATCATGACTTGTATATCGAAAAAGCCACAAAATTTTCGATTTTTCTTTGTATATCAACTGTTATGTATCATATACTTGTGATACAGTAAATAGTTTTATCCAAAGTTATTTCATTTGAATTTGCAAGATTTTTCTGACAGACTTCTAGTATGTATACCGCTGAAATTGTTTATAGTCATTACAATAGAACTTCATTATACATACTATTTTGATCTCATATGTTTATTGGATGATTCCCCAAGATATGAAATCTATTCTTAGTCTTTTTCTAACGTAATGTATTATGATTTTATTAGTATTAATCAGATGTAAATAGAATCATTTGAACTTTCTTAATCTTGAAAACATTGATATTTTAACGTATTTAGCTGAATTTTATTCATTGAAGCAATGAATAACTTTTTATTAAATAATTCATTTTAATTGTATTTTGTATTTTTATATATGTACAATAGATAACTAAAGCATTTGTATAAATATTAGTCATATCAGGTAGCTGAGATGTCATGTAAAGAGCATTTTTCTTATTCGACGAAATCTAATCTGTAGAAAAAACATCTTACGTTTTGTTTAAAATACAATACATTATCGATGTCATTGTAACACTTCTGAGCAGATATAACTGCGAAAATGTAAGTAGAGAAATTTTTCAAGTTGTTTATGTTATGATTTTTTTACTAGATTAACGAATACATACAACAATAGACATTTAATACAAGTGTAATAATTTATATTAGTCAGCAACATATCACTAAATTTGGTGTCTAGTTTTATGATATTGAAAAACTACTCATAAAACGATTCCATATATTTTTAAGATCCATAAAAAAATAGAGGTCTTGATATTTATGTCTCTTGAACAAAATACTGCAGAACTTCATTAAACACTCTACACGACTATATGTGGATGATTTTTTTTCTTGTTTAGAGTGTATAGCATTTAACAAAACAATCTTATATTCCTGTCGACCCAAAATCCTTATAAATCAAGGATAATGAAGACTTCTGTTGATAGTGAATGTGACATAGAACAAAAACGGAACACTAAAATAGAGTCTTGTATTCTTTTCTACGTACCTGTTCATAAAGCTTTCTTGAATAATAGCCAGTATGATCATCGATATATTCATCCATATCTGCATAGCCATAATTCATAAACTGTAATTCGTTCACATTCATATAAATACTTGAAATTCGTTCGTACCAGAGAAACAATTTGTCAATGGTCTCGTATCCTTGCTGGTATTTTACTAGATAATCATGAACTATTGTCGGCCGACATAATTTTTCTTTTACTGTGCAAGATTCTAGAAAAAAAGAGATTTAATATAATATAATAATGAATAAATTCATATACAGCAATTCGAAGTAAGCAGCCTAACGTCGAATGAAACTATTTTAAAGAATAAAATGTTAGAGTACAAATATAACAAAACGTATGATAAACATAAAAAGGTGTAAGATTTTTATGTTTATTTCGAGAATAGTGTAAATGTATAATCTTATCAAGATCTTTTATGTGTAGTTTTTTAATTTTCCAGTCTATTTATAAAACTAATTAAGTTAACTAGAGTTTAAAACGTTACGAATCCGATACTCTATCGTATCTTCGTGATATCATATATTTAAGAAAAATATGAACTGTCAATTGATTTTGTGTCACAATAAAAATATAATTATTAATTATTAATATGAAATGATAGCTTTAAACTGATCTAATACTAGTATGAGGCGTTGATAAATAATTATAAGTTGAAGCTGGCAAAGAGATGTAATTAAATTCCATATTAACAAAAGAATACGATAAAAAATAGATTCAATGTACAGTATATCATATGTTATGGTTAGTAGAATAGTTTAGAGAAAGTTCACTATCAGTGGAAAAGAACATTAATCAAAAGATTTTTATCATGGCTTGCCAGCAGAAGACCTAGCAAATGCTATACTCAGTTTAGCTTCTTATGTCGGAACTATTGTATGCTCATTTTTAAGAACAGTATATCTCACTAAAAAGAAATGATAGGATATAAAAAATAAATATTAATAACGATTAGACAATATCTTGGAAGTCTTATATAAGAACAGATCATCTGTCTGAATAACTTACGTGCAGGAACCCCTTTCCAGTGAGTATTCGGTGGTAATCGATCATTTTTCATTATCAGTGTTCCAGGATAAAGACGATTGTTACCCATTAGTTTGCAGCCTGACATTACAATTGAGTAACTCATCAGTACACATGAATTACCGATTGATACAGGAGCTAATTTTAAAATACGTTGTTCGAAACTGTGACCCTTCAAAGATTCAGAAAAACAGTTTTATGTGAAGATAAAAAACAAAAAACTTATGTATTACCTGTATCTGTGTACGCACACTAAGTCGAACATCATCTCCAATAGTCATCAAATGATAATCAGTAATACTGGATATATCAGCCATTATAACATTCTCACCAATATGAGCGCCGTATGCTCGAAATAGTCGAATGAGCCATTGTGTATTACCAAGAAATGGACAAATAAATTGTGCATGATCTTGACTTATTCTTGTTATTATTTGTTCTATAATTTGATAACTTATATATGAACGACATCGATAGAGACTACAGGCAAGTATTGTATGAATGATTGATCCACCAACAAGACCACCAAACGAATAAATGCTTAATAAAAGACATTTGCTGACATAATGAGACAAACATGTATGCCAAAATGGTATGATTTCAATCTGATCTTGTATTTCTGGCCTGGGAGGCATTTGGAATGGCATTGTACGAGCTGGAACACTCATAAAAACATCTCTGCATTTGCTTTTTGTCTCTCGTGAGATACGTGTTAAATTGCCGATCATTGTCTCAGGTGCAAGGCAACTACCAGGCAAGATTGAACATCCATTGGCAAGGTTTGTATGAGATCCAAGTATTATCTGATCTACGCGATAATCACCTGAGAGTGTCAGCTCAGTAGGAACTATTAAGATTCCACCAAAAGTAGTGACACCCATTTCGAGTTTCAATAGATTTGTTGGACAGGATAGGAAAGTATCTATCTCAGCGAGTTTGACATTTTCTTCGACATGAGCACCTAACCAACGAAGAACATAGGGATAAAGAAAATCGTAGCCAGTCGGTAGTAGCCAAGCATGATGAAAACTAGATACAAGTAATTGACGAAGCCATATTTTTTGTAAATATAACCAAGATGCTATCGGATATATTTCACCAGCAACACAAGACCCAACTATGAATTTCAGTAAGAGAAGCGAAATAAAACAGCCAATAATTGACCATAAAGTCCAACAAAAAGCAATACTAATTAGTAGTGATATTTGTCCAACTGAATAAACTTTATATACTATGATCAAAAGTGTACAATGTAAACCGATGATTGAGAAAAGTGCAATCATTTGATATATCTTATGCCATATGGATAATGATCTGTTACTCTGCATAATGGACATGTCTGAAGGAAGAGATTTGTGTTCTTCACCATCGACAATCGTTTCAGATGCGACGAAGCCAGTGATCGATGACATTGGTTGAACAATAATATTATTTTGCATATCAACTCCACCAAACAGAATTGATCGTGTACCGATTGAACAATTAGATCCAATTCTAATTAGACTTAATTTGAAAGTGTTATTATCATTAAAATATAAACAGTTCAAATATGTTTCACTTGCAATCCAACTTCCATCATCAATTTCTAACAACCATGGAGCATCAATAGTTGTAGTATAAATATGTGTGTTAAGACTGATTCGTGCACCACAAAGACGAAGATAATAATTGTAAAGAGGTGTACCAAGTATATGTTGCAACCAAAATATATTATTATTCCATAGTCGATCTAAAAGCCACCATCGATAATAACTCCAAGAGAAAAGATTGTCAGTTTTGATGTTTCGCGATAATAGTAGATGTGAGCAAATGACATAGGATAGAAGATGACATATTGGTAAAATAGGAAAAAACAATGGGCACCATTGATAAATTGTCATGATCGGACACAACCATTGACAAACAAGGAATACAATACCTACAGACTCTATAACAAACGAAGGTGACAACCTAATGTCTGTTTCATGAGATTGATTGGTTGTAAGCGCTGTCTTTAAAGATTCATTAGAGGTCAACAAAGGTTCTATTGCTATAGCCAATTGTTGAATAGATGGATTCGTAAATAAAAGACCAATATCAATATTAGTGCACAATTGTTGCCGTATTAATGTAAGTGCACGAATGGCATCTAACGATGTTCCACCGAGCTGACTAAACGGAACATTAAGAGGCGAAAATTCAACATGAAAAGCTTCACTAAAAATCTGTTGTAATTGTTGTTCAAGACTAGTGCTTGGTGTATTACTACCATAATCACTAACAGAGAACGAAAAGTCAGGTGAAGGAAACAGTTTTCGATCTATTTTTCCATTTGCATTTAATGGTAACTTATCACGAATAATAAATATCGATGGAATCATATGTGGTGGAAGATGAGATTGACAATGTTGACGTAGCTGTTCTTCATTCACATGAGAAGATTGAACATATGCAACTAAATGATCATCATTCAATTTGATGAGAACACAAGCAGATATGGATGTGAAATTAAGAAAACATCGTTCGATTTCACCAAGTTCAATTCTTTGTCCATGTAATTTGATTTGATGATCTTTTCTTCCTTGATAATGAAGAAGGCCATGGTTATCGACTGTAACAAGATCACCTGTTCGATAGAATAACTCGTCATTTATATATATGAATGCTTTTGCTGACAGATCATCATGTCCAAAATAGCCACTGAAGACACCTACTCCTCCTACAAATAATTCTCCTTCTTCATTAATATATGTACTTTGTAAGAAATGATTTAGAATTAGATTTTGATAGTTTGAAAGCGGTCTGCCTATTGGAATGGTTTCAGTTTCCACTGTATTATTGAAATGACGAAACGTGCAATCAATTGTTGTCTCAGCAGGACCATACATATTCCATAGTCGACAGGTGTGCGTCATCGTATTTAACATTAAGTTTCTTAGTTTCATAGAGCAAGGCTCACCTAGAGATGAAGTTAAGAATATAAAAAAATAACATGCTTCCTTAAAAGATCACATACCACCACTACAAATTGATCGCAGAGATTGTAAAACATTGCGACTATTGAATTGTTTCACAAATGTGAAAAAATTATGAATTATAGTTGGAACAGTAGTAATACAAGTAACATTCTTCTCTTTTACAATACTAGCAAGATAATCAAAATCCAGAAGTCCTTTTGGGTGTAGCATAATTAGACTACTTCCAATAATTAAAGTGCCCAATATATCTTGGATATGAACATCAAAGGAACAACGTGCAATTTGAAGGATTGTATCATTTTCATTCAACACATCACCATAAACTAACGAACACATAAACCCAGTTAAGTTTTTGTGTTTGACTTGGACCTATAAGATAGCATAAAATTCATTCGAATACTAGAAAAGCTAAACTTCAACTAACCGCTTTAGGTATTCCAGTTGAACCACTTGTAAAAATGATATATGCAATATTCTCTGATGTTATTGTCACGCTTGATAGCTGATTAGCATCAATAATATTTTCATCGACACGGTTACTCAATATTGAACCAATATCAAATGAAATAATACTATCTTTAAATTTATTCTTTGTCAACCAATGGACAAGAACAAGACGACTTTCTGTTTGTTCTACAAGCGTATGTAAACGATGTTTTGGATCTCGAGGTGACAATGGACAATAGACACTACCACTCATTTCAATTGCCATAATGCCAATTACCTAATGATTATAAATCTCTACCTGATATTAATGAATAGTTTCTAAAAATAACTCACCATCGACAAACTTCTCTCAACACATTGACAAATAATTTCACCTGGAACAACAACATATTTGTTTATAAAATGTAGAGATAATACTTGGGCATAATACAGAAGTTCAGCATATGTTAGAGATTGTTCATCAAGTTCAACAGCTAGTTTTTGTGGATGTCTCATTACTTGATAAACAAATGCATGATGAATACAAGTGAGAGAAGAATGAAATGATACTTGTGTATTATTCATTGAATACATGAGTAATCTTTCATTAGGTGATATTAATGATATTTCATACATTGGTTTCTCCATTTTATCATCAACAGATGTAAATAATTGTTTCAATAATGAATGAAATCGTTGAGTTATCTTATAAATTGTTTCTTGATTGAATAAATCAAGGGATGCATTGATTGTGCATGAGAGTTGATTGACATGAAGATCATGTCGAATTAGAAGTGAGAAATCA